GTATTTTAGAATTAATAATTATACCTTTAAGTAAAATGTATATACCCTTATTAAACAGCATGTATGAATGTAAACAATGTTACTCGTACATTTATATACCACTATTAAACAGTATTTATAAATGTAAACAATAATACTCACAAAGTTTTTTATTTCGGAGTCGTAAAAATAAAAAAATATCATAAAATGCCCTCATAAATTCAACTTGTATCAAGAAAATAACATATAATAAATTGCTCAAAAATTGTTTTACTACTTAGCAAAACATACATACATAAATGTCTTACCATAAGCTTTTATATTTAAGCTGAATTCTTCAAAATCTTAATCTTAACAAAATATTAAGCTGATTAAGCAACACACACTTAGTAACTCTTTTACTTCATTTAAATAGTCATTCGATTTTATTCATAATTACTTTCTTTCGCTTCAAGAAATATTTCCAAGACATGCATTCATTAAAGGAAAACAATCGTATTTTCTTAAAGTATTATACTATAATCATCATCTCAAAATGTTCGTCGAAAGATAAATCAACAAGTACAATATTTTATTTTATGTAGAATAAAATATTTAATAACGAACAACAGCACTCAAAGGAAATAAAAATAATAAAAGATTTGACGTAAACACATCATAAATCATCGCTAGTCTAAACATTTCCGCGGGGGGGAAACATCTGCTGCTGTATGTCAGAAGCGAAACTAATAAATTCTAATGAACAACGTCAATGAATATATTCAAACTTTAACATCAAAACATGTATTCAGTGAAACAATATTATCTACAAATTAATTTACTATGCGCATTAACATTTTAAAATAACAAATTACAATTACACTTAAATACGTTCTGGTTATATCCCCCCCCTCTGCCGTTTGCTTTCGTTTAATACTTCTTATGTAATATCAAGAAATCAGATTTCAGTAAGGAATTTACATTTGCTTTAAGAAGCAGCTTATAATGAATAATCAGTTTAAAAGAACTTTAAACTCAGATTAAACGATAATGCAAACGAAACTTATCTTTTCCGTTGAAAGTGTTCCAGTTGATGATTCGATGTGCTAGCAGCACGGCATGACAATTTTAATTCCAGAATTGGTTTCAGACAGAATTTTGACCAGTTAGTCCAGCAGTTCACATCTGAAAAGAAACTGAGCCGATCTCCAGCAACTAAAAGTTAAAGTTAAATTTGGGAGTAAGGGCTTGTTAAAGCCAAACAGAAATTCTAAACATTTTGTTGCGCCATTTTGGATTCAAATTAGTTGGGCGCCAATGTGATGTAGCCGTTCCTCAATAGACACACTAATGCCGGCTAGCTTTAAAAGGATTTATTAACAGAGCACACAGGAACGGTTACAAACAAAAGAAATATATATAAAAATGAAACATAAACGAAATGGAACATCAAACATTGAGAATAACATAACATAGTAAGCTATCATCATGTCGGCTGGAGGTCGACTGACGTTTTTTCATATCGCCACGAGATGGCGTTTAAATAAAATAGTTCGGTTACAGTTCATGAGTTCATGGCGTGAATAAAATAGTTCAACTACACTTAAATAGGTCTGTTACACAACTGAATTTGAAACGAGGTTTAATGATTTTAGTTCCCTCGAAGACAAATTTTTTTTTTTTTTTCTTCGATTTTTCTCAATAAGTATTGACTCAATACCTAGCCATATGCAAATGGAGGTGATCGAGATTCAATGCAACTCAAATTTGAAAGCAAAATTCATTGAAGTGGGCGTGCCTGAATTTTACAAATATTTACCAGCCAGGTTTGAAAATACTCGAAAATTCGCATATGAAATTATTTCCATGCTTGGTAGCACTTATCGGTGCGAGCAGTTATTTTCAGTCATGAAAGGTAATAATTCTCCTGTTAGAAACCGTATTAATGATGCTCACCTTGGGTCAGCGTTGAAAGTTATCACTGCAAACAAAATTTCTCCCGAAATAGGAAAGATAATAGCAGAGAAGAGATGTCAAGTATCAGGACGTAAACATTAAATTTTCTTGTTCTTTCTATATAAATATATATATATGTTTATTATTGTATTATTCGAAATAAATCTACGTTTCTATGAATATAATTTTTTTTTTTTTTTTTGGCCAGCCTAAAGTTAAACCTTGTTTGTTTGGCCCAAGTGTACCTATGAGTTTGACATCCCTGACGTACGGCGAACGTTTTTTGCCACGCTGCTTGCTAACTACCACGAATTCCAAATGATACTATGAATGAAAAGAAAAGGACTTGAATATGCGAATGCTTCAAGGAGGAAGGAGGGGGGAGTAATTTCATTACAAAACAGTATTTCCTGGAAACCAGTGTAGTGAAAATCTGTTTGGACTGCCTTTATTTATTATTGCGTCTGCCGAGTGGATTGCTCTCACCGATGTTATGATACTTGACTAGGAATTCTTTCTAATTCTTAAAACTAAACTTTAACCAGCACTTCACGGGCCTAACCCGGCGACCCTTAATTAACTCTCTTTTTTACATCACTGCCCGCTAGACCTAATCTGGCCTCGTTTACCGCGACCCACATCTGTACCACTAAACATGACCTCCCCCCATTTATCAGGACCTCACCTTTTCACATATCACGGACCAGACTTTTAACATTAAAGTAAATTATTAAAAAATAGCAGCAATAGTTTAATTATTTAACTACTATTAAATCCATTAAAATTTAGACTTAAACAATATTGCAATAGCTTCGCTACTCTATAATCATTCCTGCAGTGCTCCCTCTTACCTAATACAACTTATCAATTCTTTATTTTCGCACAGGTATCACAAGCTTGCATTTCATCACTACAAGACCTTCTTCAATAATTAAATTTAAATCTTCGCTTCCTTAATTCCCCTTACTCCCTTCCTTTGCTCTATTTCTGTCCTTTAATTCCTCATCTAATAATTTCTCCGTCTTTTTCCACAGTTAACTTTCTCACGGTTCTTTTCCGCTCCAGTAAGTGCTGCTCCTATTCTCCTCTCGCCACGGGCGGTCGGAGAACTTTTCGCCTTCCTGAATAGACTCTCCCCCCCCTCCTCTTCGCTCCTTCTTCCCTGGATTCAGTTTAGTTTTAGTCGTAAGACTCTTCCCCCCCCCTCGCTCATCCCCAAGGCATTAGCTATCACTGCGGCTGTCCGTATTACCTAATATTACCTTTCCCAAGCCCTGGAAAATTATGTTTCCCGGCTGATTGTCTTCCAACCTTTCCGATTCATAAACCGCAATGCGTTCCCGGAATTCGCCTCAACTAACTCCTTTCTCTCTTTCAATCTTAAATTACAAGTTGAAAGCAGAGAGAATTGCTCGTCCCATATGCGGACTCCTTATTCATTTCTTTCTATATAAACCCTTAATGGTTTGTTCATCTCTCCTTTAGCCATTGCTTATTCTTATCCAACTCAGTTTCCTTATCGATGTTGTGGAGGTAATTGCATTAAGTTGCAAAGGTACTCCGGAAGTCAAACGCCTTGGGCCTTGGGCCGATGTTATGACTGAATAACAGCTGCACCAGAATGCAAGGAAAGTCTCTGCTTTCCATCCTTGCGCCAACCAAAGACAAAACAAATGCATATTCTTTCTTTAAAGATGTTTATTGACTGAAGGGAAAAAGGCGATGTTAAAAAAAATTTTTTTTTAAGAAATTCTTTAGTTTTTGGGGTGCGGACATTTGTGTGTGTGTTTTTTTTTTTTTTTTTTTTTCATAAATTTCATCTGTAAAGCTGGGGTACGAACATTACATGAGCGTATACGGTAAATGTATAAATTGAGTATAAGTTGGCTTTGTCTGTACGTAGGTATGATTTTTGCATCTTTGATTAGGCGTAAGAACGTTCAAATTTTATATATGGGACTTAACATCCAGTTGTGCACTTTCTTTTTTTTTTTTTCTATTGCAAACAACAATACTAGCGGTATTTATATATCTATTCTCTTACCTGGTCTTTATTTTCGCAGTCTTTGGTCGTAATCATATAGTACTTCCAGTTACATAACTGTTTTAAATGATAAAAATATTCATGTTTTAGTAATGTGAAATTAAAAAAAAAAATCCACAAATAACGAAATCTAACTACATATACAATAACAGTTTATATATGTTAGTCTAACAACATTTAATATCCGTTTTATTGTTGAAAATATCTTATAATATTTAATATCGGTTTATTGTTGTAAATCCAATATCAGTTTATTTTTTGTCATATTTGTAATGCCCATTCCCTTACCCGGTCTATATTTTCGCAATCCTTGGTCATATACTTCCAGTTACATAAGTCTTTTAAATGACGAATGTATTCATGTTTAAGAAATGTCAAATTTAAATAAAATTAATTCTCGACTATTAACGAAATCTAACTACATCTATAATAACAGTTTATGTATGTGGTTAGTCTAACATTAAATATCTCACAATATTTAATATCGGTTTGTTGTTGTAAATATCAAATAATATTTAATACCAGGTTATTGTTCTAAAAAGAATATTTAATAGGCCGTTAGAGGAAATCATGTGGTGTCCACCTCAAATTTTTTAATAAAAAGAATGTGTTTCAAAAATACACATCAGAATCACTTTAAAATTTGGGAAAATTTCTTATTGATGAGAGAAAAAGAGACAAGGAATTAAAAAAACATACGTATATTTTGCAATAACTTTGAAAATAGTTGTTAGACATTTTGTTACTGATCAGATAAAGGGAACACCAAAAAAATAATAATGTAAAAATTTTGCAATAATTTTCGTCTACTTTACAATTGTTGAAATTTATTTAACATGTAAAGTATTTCAATGGTTAAAATGAGAAATAATGATGTACATTTGTCTATCATTTATAATTAATCTTTTTAATCTTTTAAAATTTTTTATATTTAAACATGTTTTTTATTTGGAGGTACTTGATTAGTTTATATTCTTCTTACTAGATGGCGGCACATGCAAATAGGCAGAGTGACTTTTGTATGCCACGTTTCTATTCCGGTTTCATTTAGGTGGAAATTTTGGAATAGACTGATCGAGTTTTAAAAGGCTTAACTGTTGTGTAGCGATATGGCAGCCGCTAATGTTAATTTAACAGCTCTTTACTCGGATTTAGTTCGAGCTGGTGACAGTGGTGAGTTTGATAAAGCATTGAAAATTGTGAACAAAATACTGCAGGAAGATAAAGAGGATAAAAAAGCTTATCATTGCAAAGCTGTCTGCCTCATTCACCTGAACAAGTTTGAAGATGCTTTAAAGACTTTGGAAAAACACGTAAGTGATTCACAATTTGAACGAGCATATTGTTTATATAGATTGAACAGAATATCGGAAGCTTACGAAGCATTGAAATCTGTTAATAATCCTAGTTGGAGAGAAAAAGAATTACTTGCTCAAGTTTTGTATCGATTAGAAAAGTACGAAGAATGTTTCGAAATGTATAAGGAATTAATAAAGAATTCCGAAGATGATTTTGAAGAAGAAAGGGAAACTAATTTATCAGCTGTTGTGTGTTATTTATATGCTGATAAAGAAAAGGATTTTAAGAAGGCTCCACAGTTACGAGAACATACTTATGAACTTTGTTATAACAGTGCCTGCATACTTATCAGCCAAGGAGAATATAGTTTAGCTATTGAGAAACTTAAGGCCGCCGAGGAGCTGTGTAAGAAAACCCTGGAAGAAAATGATGCTACGGAAGAAGAAATTGAAGCTGAACTTGGAGTGATTAGAGTGCAACATGGATATGTCTTACAATTGCTTAATAAAAATGATAAAGCTTTAAAAATATACAATCAAGTTTTAAAGAACAAGCCTTCAGATGCAGCCGTAGCTGCTGTTGCTTCAAACAATATTGTAACCATAAATAAGGATCAAAATGTATTTGATTCAAAGAAGAAGATTAAAACTGCCACTGCCGATAATTTGGAATCAAAATTGACGTCTAAGCAACGCCAAATGATAGCAATGAACAATATTTTACTTCTCCTTCATACAAATCAGATTGATCAATGCCGCCGTAGTATTCAAGCATTCTCTAAAAATTTCCCATCCATTGCTGCTGATGCAGCGCTTTTGTTAGCAGCTTTACACTGCAAGGAAAAGAAAGTCCAGAAAGCTGTTGATGTATTAAAGGAATTTGCTGCATCACATCCAGAACAGTCTATTATACTTTCATTTACCCTTGCACAATTGTTGCTGGCTCAAGGTCATGTTAGTCAAGCTTGTGATACATTGCGATCTATGGGTGATGTATCATACACACCTGGAATTATCTCAGCTTTAGTTACACTTTATTTAAACTTAGAGGACAAAGATTCTGCCATATCCATATTAAAGTCTTCTATCAGTTGGTATAGGAAAAACAATCCAAAAAATTCTGCTCTAAGTATCCTGATTCGAGAGGCTGCTAAATTAGAATTGAAAAATGGACATCCTCAAGAAGCTGCTAAGTTGCTGGAAGAATTAAGAAAAGATAATCCTGGTGATTTAAAAACTTTGGCCCATCTAATTTCTGCTTATTCACAGTTTGATCCTGAGAAAGCTAAAGAAGTAAGTAAACAGCTGCCTCCAGTTTCCGAGATGACTCTCAAAGTCGATGTTGACAATCTTGAATCTACCAGTTGGACTATGGGAGCAAAGTATATTAAGAAAGGTGGGAAGTCTGAGCCTCCATCTGGTAAACAAGATAGTGGCGATGGTCTTATACAGAAGAAAAAGAAACGCCATAAGAAAGGAAAATTACCTAAGAATTATGATCCATCTGTTGATCCTGATCCTGAGCGATGGTTACCACGACGAGAGCGTTCTACATATAAAAAGAAGAAAGATAAAAGAGGTGCTGCTATAGGTAAAGGTACACAAGGTGCAATGGCTGGTTCTGAAGAAGTAACAAAATCTTCAGCATCCAATGTACCGTCACCTGGAGTGTCAGTTACACCTACCTCTCCCAATGTCCAAGGACCTCGTCAAATGAAAGGAGGCCAAAAGAAAAAGAAAAAAACACGCTGGTGAACTCTTAAACATTAAAAATTCTTTGTAATGCTACAGTGATACAAAACAAAGAGAATAAATAAATCATTATTCTGTTACGGAATTTGTGTCAAAGATTAAAATATGTGTTTTGTGGATTCACTTAAAATTTGCCCAAGTATGAAAGGTAAAAATTAATATCTTTTTTAGATCTCAAAATGCTGTGTTTGAAATTTTGAAAGCTCTATATGGAACTTTAATAGGCAAGGTTATTGTATTATTTCTGATAACTGTTTTAAATTATTATTTGTTTGTAGTTTTCTATAATATTTATTTTCTGTAGAGAGAGAAGGATTTTAAGTTGAAAGATAATACATTCTTTTTAGTTTATATTCAATTTTAGAAAGTCTGAAGTATAAGAATTTAATTTTCTTTCAAAATTCTTTAATAGATTTATTTGATTTTGGATGGATTTACTTAGAAATTGAATTAGATGTGTTTTTATACTAGTTTAAAAATTCTTTTTTAATTTTTAGCATTATTGTGTGTAATGTATCGTTTAGTAATTTGCACCTTGCACTCGTTTTCAACCTTGCTAAGGAGTCTTATGAGGTGAACATCTTGCTCTTATAACATTCGAAAATTACCAGCATATTACTCACGTAACACAGCTGACTGACTGTATATGCAAACTGTGTTAGTAAATGAAATTGTGTAAACATTCCGATTTTATTCTAGTCATTTTATTATTTAAAATTACAAGAAGTAACTTTAGATTGAACAAAATTTCAAATAAACTTTATCGATTTTGAGGGCAATCTGACATAGGTCTGTCTTCTTCATGAGCAAAAGATTTTTGTCAAACTAAGGTTGCTAGTTTTTTAATTTGTATGTTGATGGATTTCTCTTTTAATTAGAAAATTGTCATTGTTTTTCCTATGAAAAAAATAGCATTCTATCAAAATAAAAAACTCTTAATTAAAGGGGCCTAAGACATTTAATTTATTTCCAAATTGTAAAATTAGATAATTTATCTGGCTAGCAAAGTGAATCACAATGAAATAGCAAAAATTTCTTTAAAACACTTTCTAATTATATTTTGCAAATATGGTATTATTGTATATTCCTGGGACAGCCAAATTTCAAGATGATGGGAGCCACATCATAGACTTTATGAACGTTCGAGAGCCACAAGTCCAAATTTATATTATTTTTAAAATAATAAGATAGATTTTGAATATAAAGAAACTTTTGAAGTAAATTAATGAATATGTGATTTACATGATTACATATAAATATGAATGAATGCATTTTATATCTACTGTTTAGTGATCAGTCCCAAGAAAATAAAAATTTGTAACTCTTGTACTGGGCATCTGAGTGTATTTTCTTCAGGTAGAGAAACCAAATATTTTCTTCTTATTTCCTCCATACCTCTCCGTTTACAATTATTGTTGTTTTATTTTAGGAGAAATTAAATTAATTAGAAACATATTCATTGGTTTACAATTACATAGAAAATGTTATTTGAGTAAATTACAAATCATTATTTAAAAGAATATTGAGTGGAATTTTTTTTCGCTCATGAGCAGTCTTTTAGAGAGTCTTAAATGGTACATGTCAATGCGCACTAAAGAGAAACTGTTCTTCACGGAAGAATATTTATTTAAAATTAAGCTATTAACTTGTTTAGGTTTTGCATAAAAAGTAATTTTTTTCTTCACACAATTAACATAAAGACCAACATACTGAGATTATTCGAATATTTGCATCCTAATCTAAGAAATCATTAAACATTTTTTCAAAAACTTTGGAATTACTGCTTTTACTGATGCCCAGTATAGAAGAACTCACCACAAAAAAAAAAAAAAAAAAAAAAAAAGAATATGATTGCAATTTCAGTGGTACTTGAATAATTTCAGCATGGCATCCAGCAGAATCTGCCAGAATTTTTTAGTAATCAGTACACTGCACATCATTGAAAATTCTCAAATCATCCAATAATAATGGACATAGAATAATGGAAGTTCAGGAGCATCATGGAAAATTCTTGAAACTATCTCACGAATCATCTCGATAATTTTGGACATAGATAACAAAGTTAATGCATATCATTGAAAATTCTTGAAACTACTTTTTCAATCGTTATGATAATTCTGAACATACGTACCTATCGCTTACAAATCTAGTACAGTATAAAGTCCGAATTCCGGACTCGTCGATGTCCGATTCCGCATTTGGGATTTTTCCGCATATTAGATCATCAGTTTAAATCTAGTAAGATGACATGTAGAAATTATAAAATTAAAAATAAGAAATCGTGATTTATGAAATAATGAGGTATTTATGATCTAAAGAGTATCAAAATTTACAAAAAAGAGCTTAATATTAATTTGTTTACCTTATTAAACATTTCTTTCAATATAAGTTGTTTAAGTTGCTTTGTTTTTTGTGCTAATACTTTATCTTTAATTCTGTAGACAGACATAATCTCTTGTTTAGTTACATTGTTGAAGTCCTGTAACTGATGTGTTGAGAATTCCAACTAATTTGTCAATCGAAATTGTTTCATTTTCAGTAACTTCTTTGTCGCTTTCTTCACTTCGGTAGCGGTATTTTCTGGATCTAGAGCCATACTATAGATTTTGCCATTCATTGATTGATTGATGAGCATTGTCATTACAATAAAAAACTTCTTCTATATCATATCCATTTATTACTGCTTCTCCACTTTTCTTTACCAAATCTGTTAATTGGAAAATTTCACCTTTGTTTTGTGATATCCGATGGCGACTAATGACAAGTTCCGTTAAATTTTATCTTGCTTCTATCGCGCACCGAGACAATTAAGCCTGAACATGGAGATGGCAGAATCTTTGTCCTCTAAGTTTAAATAAAGTGTAACTAAAACTGAGATAATTCCAGGTGTGTATAATACATCGCCCATAGATCGCAATGTATCACAAGCTTGACTAATATGTCCTTGAGCCAGCAGTTATTTACTATACTTATACCTATTTCTTGTACATGCTTAAGGCTTATCAGAGTTCTAAATAAATAAATTCCCACATATATTTAAGCCTTATTGAGGGCCAGCGCTAAATATTTTACTGCCGCAGTCTCCTGTGGGTCCTAAATTCTCGACCTGGTGGGGGCCATATGAGCATTGGTTCTGGGTTTATGTGTATAACAAATCAGTTATTCTTAATTCAAATAGTCTTAAATGCAATCTTGTAATGAGTATCATCTACAAAATCTATTTTTAGCATATGGGAAGAAGATTTTGTTAAACTTTTCCTCAGCAACAATTTTTAGCGCATTTAACTTAAATCTGTAATCATTGGCAAGCGTAATGTCAACATAAAAGGTTACCATACGCCTTTATTATTCAATTACTAACACTAAAAAAAAAATTGTTTAGGCATCACTACATGAGTCATTACTCAAAAGTCATGTGTTGATAAACTTGCGGAAGGAAAGTATAATAAATGATTTGCCAGTTTGGCATCAGATCAGCAATCAATCTATGTGGACTGTTTCGGTTTCAGATGTGTGCCAAGCAGATACGCAGCAACGGAGCCAAATTGCTAATCATACAAATTTATGCTAAAATGATTGTTTTTTCAATAGCAAGGTATTTTATTTAGTGTCAAAGTGAAATTAAAAATCGGGGCTCTCCAGATGTTTTATTATGTGTGGAGGGGGGATTAAATGCACATGCGTAAAGCCTATGAGAAAAACGTGATTGGTAGTTTTGAGGTCCGGACTTTAGATCATTGCGGATATTGGACGTCCCAATTTTGGACTTTGTACTCTAGTTCATGCCGGGCTATACAAATGCTTGTTGAGCACATATTCCATCGTCTACCAGCCGAATTCTTCAACCTAGCTGTTTAAGGTTGAGCTGTCTTTCAAGTACATTGCAAATCAAAACTTATGTTACAGAAAGAAAACATACCTATCACTACTACAGTCAAAAGTCTTTAATCCGGAATGATCTATAATCCGGACCTCAAAGCTATAAACTTATGCGTTGACGCATGCGCATATGCGTCTACGTGTGCGCATAATACGTTTATATCTGGACCTCAAAGCTATAAATTTATGCGTTGACGCATGCGCATATGCGTCTACGCGTGCGCATAATACGTTTACGTATGCGTGTTTAATGTATAATGGATGGTATAAGCTAAGCTAAAATTATCTAATTATCTATTTCAGTTAATGTTGCAGATTGTGTTGTTCCTTAATCTTCTAATTGGATCCGGCTTATTATTTTTTGCAGACTGTTAGAGCAATTTTATAATTATAAGTAAGCAAGTTGGAAAATTTCGATACATGCCAAATAGAATTTCCTGATGCCTGGAGCTGCCAAATGATCTACAAAGGCGAAAGCAGGTTTCGATGTCCACCAAACAAAAAGTGGAATTGCTGCATAAATTGGATAAAGGCTCATTTCTGATTCTCTAACCCTTCCGAAATCTGTTTATCAATTTCTCGCTGCTCTAGGAGGGGGTGAGGGGGAACGTCGTGGGGCAGAATGAACTAGAAGTTGATCTGTCAGCACTATCCTTATCTTCAGGGCAGATGTTTTTATTTTATTCGGCATATAATTCCTTACTAAATGTAGTATTTCATCTTGATGTACTCCATCTTTGATATGATTTAAATCAAATTTCTTGTCATTATAAATATCATGAATACACAAAAATAGTTTTCTGGTTGCAATTTTCTAATTTCGACAACACGTAATGTATGCTTTATTCATGTGCAAGTTGAAAGGAATGTTTAATAAAGTAAACAAATAAATATAAGGGTTTTTTTTTTTTTTTTTTTTTTTTTTTTTATTTGATAACCTTTAGATCATAATTGCTCTTTATTTCATAAATTAGGGTTTCATATTTTTAATTTTATAATTTCTGCATGCCATTTTACCAGATTTAAACTGATGATCTACAATCCAGAATTGCCGAAGTCCCGACGAGTCCGGATTAAAGACTTTTGATTGTATAATGAATTTATTTTGCAAATGCAGATGTAAAATGGACACGTAATTCTTCATGTTTCTATGGTCATATACAGATGTTTGATATGGAGGCCTTTTGTAACATGGCAGACGTCTGCACAATAATTTAGTTCCTAA